CACACTGAGCCTGGTTCTGCTGGAGGTTTCTTCCTGTTAAAAGGGAGTTTTTCCTCTCCACTGTCGCTACAAGCATGCTTAGTGTGAGAGATTGCATTCGAATCAATGAGTCAATGCAATCAACTGGTTTTTCTTAGATATAAAACTTTAACTGTAACTGTAAAGTGCCTTGAGGTTACATGTGTGGTGAATTGGTGCTATATAAATAAACTGAATTGAATTGAATAGTAACTGCATTACTCGATCAGTAACTAGTAACTACAACAAGTATATGTTTTTAAGCAATTAGGCCAATACTGCTAGTTTCTCACAATTTATGTAGATAACATAAAAAATGTGGAAGAAAGCGCTTTGAGACCAAAACGTATGTATTTAAGATGGATTGTACACTCGGTAGGCGTCATCCTAAACACGCCAACCCCACTGTAAAACACAGTGGTAGTGACTCCATGTCATGTTCTATATGGGGATGCTGGTTAGAATCGATGAAAACACAGATGTAATAAACACAGAGCAACCCTGATGGTAAGAGACTGCGAAAATATTAAGACATTTTGTAGCAACGCAGCAACCCTGGACATACAGGCAGAGCTGGAGGGGAATATTATAGATGAAAGAATATGCATCCCTAAGGAGGGACCTGTCAAAATCCAGATCTAAATCCACTGTGTCTATATTTCTGTAGACATTCTCTGTAGATGGTTTTGTGCCATATAGATACACTGAACTGAGCAGAGTAGATTTTATCTATATTTGCAGTACTATCTCATACCCAATAGAATATGTCGGTATTTCTGGCTGAAATATTGGAAAATACAGAAAAAAAGTGGATATTAACACTCTTCCAGGGCTTAATTCTAAGAGTATTATGCGAGGGATCACAATGATTTCTTAACTAATTGTTAGATAAGTTAGTCACTCTCGTTCCCAGTTCTTCCCATAAACTCTTTATTACACCAAAGCATGCAAATGTGAGCACCTTGTTAAGAAACCCATGCATTTCTAATGACGGTGAGATCTTTTTAAGTGCACTCACAAGCAATCCTGATGTACGCCTTCTGGCTCTTCTGAGTTCCAGTGGTGCTCCAGGCGACGCACTGACACCAGTACTCATTGAGGCCAAAGACTTTCTCCACCTGCTGCCTGGTAACTTCAATCGTCACCTGCATGACCGGCAGTGCTGCAAAACAGGTACAGAAATAACAGCATGGTGAGCATTTCCTCCACATCAAGCTTGACTGCAGCAAAAAAAATTTAACGACTGCATTTTGTACCTTGAGTAATTAGAAGAAAGAAAAAAAAAGAAAACGGCAGGCAGAGATAAATGAGGAGACAACCATAATCCTATATAAACAGAGGGCTTGTTAACTGAGGAGAATGAAAAGAGCCTCACAGCGATTCTGGTTTAATTTGTATGCCGTTAAAATGGCAACAGTTGGGAAGGAACGGCAGAGCTCTAAACAAACACTGCAAACAAAAATACCCCGCGTACCATGCTTCACTATTATCAAATCCAGAACTGGGAGGAAGAGTTCAATTTATGAAGCATTCCTACCACAGAGTAGATATAAAAGATTTGGCTGCAACACAAGGTTAAAAATAGCTTTATTGCTTTTCTGCCAGACTGGACTGACAAGCCTTCTCTAAATAGAGCAAAATTGGGACAAAATCCACCAGCCCAACCTGTCAAAAGCGCTATAACATTGTCACAGGCTTATCTACGTTGAGAAATCTTTCATTTC